ATATATATTGATCATGCAATATTAGCCAATAGTATTTTCACATAGATTAGCAAATTCATTCAAGAATGATATGTAGATGACATATAAGATTTTAATAGTAAACTTAATTATAATAATTAATAAAGTTATTCCAATCGATTTTGAAGTAGAGATGATATTTTAATTAATAATTTTTTTTTTGTGCTTTAAATGATTATTTATATAATGATTAATATAGAGTATAAAAATGAATAAAAATAAATTAATTATTTGGAATGTGATGCACAATGACATGAGGTCTTTGGCATTTACATGCATAAGAAAATCAATGATACACACCTATATATATACACTTGATTTGTAGTATTTCGAGCCAAAATGAATATTTGTTCGTGTTCCACTCGTTAACTTAGCGAACGAGCGGAACACGAGCTTCTCAAAGAGCCTAACACGAGCTATTCGCGAACAACGAGCCGTTTTGACAGCCCTAGATACAGTGGTTCTTGAAAATTTTCTAATATTAGTAACACACTTATAATATTTTTTATTATAATAGGGTTGACAAATGTCATTGAAAGTAATGCTTGTGTCAATAAAAACTACATTTCAAAAAATTAATTTTAAAAATTAAATGATATTCAATTAGAAAATTAAAATTATGTCTGTAAAAGAATTTTTCATTCCCAACCCAAACTCCACTCAGCTAATCCTGCAATCAAATTTACATGAAAATCACTGAAATCATGCTAGATCACTCTCGCCCCAATCCAAAATGGATATGATTATTCAGTTTTAACACAAAAAAAAATAAATTAAGTCATTATAGTTAGGCTAATTTTGACTCAAACCTAAGCTGAATTCCACTTGAATCCTATATACACCAACTGAACTGAACATATTTGTGCATGCCAATGTTGATGTCTCAAATTATAGCTGGCCTTTGACTTTTCTGTTTTAAGTTCTCCTCATTAAGTCAACACTTGTTTGAACAAGTTAACCTCAAAAAAATCAAGTAAAATATTATAAAAAATTTTAAAAAACAAAAAACAAAACCATACGCGACTTAAGAGTCTCTCCTGACAGTTACTGGAAAGAATACATGGGCATGAATATACCTGCAAGAAACAGAATTTCCAGCCATATACTCAACGATGTCACAGAATATTAACACTACAAGAAAAAAATGAAATTTTTTTCATAAATTCAAAGAAAAGTATTAAAAGCAGATTGATTTTATATTTCTAAGGCCCAAATTTTCAAAATTACGACCTTTTTAATCAGAAATAAGTCGAACAGAAAACCCAAAATTGAAAGTTTTCAAGGCTGCTGCCTTTTTGCAGGCTGCATAAAATCAGAACCGTGCTCCTTTTAACTATTTAAGGCAAGATGAACTTTGTGACAGGCCAAGCTCCATGACATGATGTTTCCTCTTTAAAAATTGCAGAAACTTAGAAGAAAACCTCATTAGTATCTATCAACTTCTCTTTCAAATTTAAAGCCTGCAATTCCTACATTTTTACGGAGAAATATTAACATTATTCATGACTACTTTGATCTCAACTGGTATCAGAGATAACATACATTAAATGCCTGGATTAATAAGCATGAAGATGAAATTAAAATTTATCAGCTTTTCATTTAGGCTGGCAATTGCTTGTTGCTGTTTCCAGTTTCTTGAGAGAAAATACGAAAATTTGTGAATAATTCAAGATTCAAAATATGCAAAGAAATTTTCCAATAATTAAATCAATGCTCCAGCCCTTGTTAGACAATCAGCGGCAAGTGATATACTATACTTTTAAATGAAACCTGAATTTTTAATTGAAAATACTACGAGAATTTTCATGTGAGTTTGCAAGGAGAGTAGAAAAGAAGAACCCGACAAGTTTCTGCATAGACAAACCAAGTTTGCAGCTACAGCTTAATTACGTACGCATAAGAAGCAATACCACCAAGCAGCAGCAGATAAACCAGTGGCGAGAAGACCGTTGTAATTATGCTAAGAAAAAGTTGCAGATAAAACAGTGACAGGAAGATGGTTATGATTATGCTAGAAAGGTACAACATCTTTAGCTTATACAGTAGCCGATAAAAAGTGATACTGCAAGAGAATATAATAAAAAAAAGGATTCTATAGACAGAGCACCCAATTCCTATGTATGTACATGTCTAACACGGCCTAGACTTTATTTTTTATATTTATAGCACACAAATCATTCATATTTTAACTTTCAAAAAGTGAAATTCATATTTTCAGGCATGTGAATACATAACAATTGAGTGATACGAATGCATAGCTTCCTTATAAAAGTAGTTTAAAATTTATATAATCCTTATTTAAGAAAAAAAGTTTGGTTGAGTGACATATATAAGACTTTTAAAATGAATGTGAGGTCAAAATAAAAAGAGGAGGAAATGGTTGTTTTATAATTATGATCATAGTTTTAGCACTTATTTGTAAAGGAAAAGACAGAAATATATATCCTACTAATCCACAATCCATTGTCAATCCTAATTCGTATGTATAAATGAGAAGGATAAATAAAAGCAACATTTTCTATAATTTGTTGGTCTTCCGCACCATATTAATTGTACATCATATCAACACATTTTATATAACAATCCAAAACCTATGCCAACGTTAAACACTCTTCATTCACATCATAAAATAAAATTCAAATTATTACAATCTTCCTCCTTTTTTTTTTCATGCACCTATTCATTTCTCTACCATTTATTAAACTCTTCACTTCCTCTCCTTTGTTTTCTTCTTGTACCATCATCTTCTTAAGCTTATATTTTAGTATACATATGTGCTCATAAATTCTCATTCATTATGACTTATGTCCGTGTAGTCAAAATATAACTTATATTAGAACTGAACATCATGGCTATGCCTGAGGAATCTAATCCATCAAATCTTTCTTCCTATGTTCATTTATCGATCTCCGAAATTCATAATCTAATTATTGAGATAGGCCAAATAATAATCCCTTAAATGTAAAGCATTACTTTTGTATATATATATATATATATCTAAAGCACATATATTCATGATGCTCAAAATTAACTTTCATGGGATTCTCATTGATGATTACGAGGTTTGACAAAAATCTATCTACGTCCTCGAACAGAGATTATTCGATTGCATTAGATGGGGAGAAAGGAAAAATCGACCGAATTAGAGTTACTACTCCACACACAACCCGAATTTTGCATAACCTATCCTATAAATAAGAGAGGAATTAAGACATAAAAATTAAGAATATTTCAAACATATGAAATATCACTTAATTATATCGCTTTTAATTAGATTTTATAATAATATAAAAAAAACCATATAATTAGATATCTTCAAATTATATTACCTAATACCAATATTTATAATATGCAATTCCTAATTTACAAAATTTACTAGTTTACATAACAAATTATACTTAATATTTCAGTCAGGAGCACTTGAAGCTACTCCCAGTGTGTTGCATAGCTTGCCCCTCACTTCATTGGTGAGTGACTTCTTCTAAATGGTAGATATTATTGTATATATATATGTATACATATAGATATAGATATATACTCTGGAATCATATATATATCTGTGTGTGTATAATTAATAAATTAATTTATTAGCATTCAAACTAATAAAATTTTTAACAAAATTTTCAAAAGAAATCTCATACTAACAAAATCACAAATCATGAACTTCAAGAGGAACATTCTTTTGGGATATTTACAAACATGCCGCACAATTCCTATGTATTTGCACAACTAACGCTTTAGTTTTCGTATTTACATACATAACACCGAATTCGTTAATATCGTACAAAAAAAATTATTACAAATTTTTTGAAAGTGAATATACATTTTCATGCATGATTTTATAGCACAAAAGTACTATAAATGTAAATATCGCATATTTTATGGGGGGAAATATGACAAAAATAATATTTTTAAAATAAAAATTTTGTAAGAACTTGCAATATCAATCATATTTGAAGCTACACTTTGAAGTTTACTATGTTGATGGATGTTCATGAGAGTTCTGAAAGAGATAATAAATTGCACGTAGGATATATGATAATAGAGTAAAGTGTCAAGATAGTCTCGGGCTATTTACATAGGGTTATTTTAGTGTCAGAGTTTATAGAAGTGCAAAAATAGTTTCCTACAATTTTAAAATTGAGTTCTTATAATCATCAATGAAGACTATAATTTCAACTTCTATATAAAGTGTCTAAGACTAATTTGACACTTCTATAGACCTTAGGGCTAAAAGGACTCCATGTAAATAGTCTGAAACTGTATTGGCACTTTCTATGATGATCTTTAGACGAGTCTATATAGAATAATAGTTGTAGAAAGGACTACTAAGGATGCAAGGAAGCGGCTTGTGCCATTATGGGGGAGTGACAAGCGCGAACCAACACATGTTATTGAGTTACATGTAAGTAGGGATGTGCATTCTATCAATTTAAACAATTTATATAAGCAATACCTAATTCATATGCATTTACGTGTCTCAAACCAAAATTATGATTTTTACGAACATATCACCTTACTTATGCATGAAAATGTAGATTTCACAGGTCCACACTATTGAAAAATGTGAATGGGGCGTTGTTTGTAAAAATGAAATTTCTGATGTGAGATACATTAAAGGATAACAATTGCGTGTGTGTACCATAAATTCCACTTCAAATAATGTACTTTAATTCATTTTTTTTATTTCATCTAAAAATTTGAATTAACCGTCTATCAAAACAATTGAAAATTAAATACTTTAAAAATATGAATTAGTATCAAAATCACTAGCTTAAAATTGCAATGAATGATTAAAAATTTGAGTATTATATGTGTGTGTGTGTGTATATATATATATATGTGTGTGTGTGTGTGGGTGTGGGGTTTCTTATAAACATAAAGAATTGCATGCTATGTGTGTAAATATGAAAGTTTAGGCGTTAGATATCTAAATACATAATAATTATGTTATGTATGCAAATGCACCCAAAGAAAAAAAAAAAGAATCGATTTAATTTTTACTGTAGCCCAGGACCCAACTTACTTAAATCTTTCTTGCCGAAACCCTAAATACAGTGGCATCTTGCTTCTCCATTTCTTCATTGTTCAGTCCGCGCGATGCTGCAAATCCAGTTCCCTGCTCGAATTATGAAGTCATTCTTCTCTATGTCCTCTCCACCCACATCAAGCGTCGCCTTCTCTACCTTGCAAGAACTCTCTGCTAACCACAGAGGTTTTTCTTATTTACTCTTTTCGTTTAGTATTGTAGAGAAGTTTAGATTAATTCGGTAATTATGTAAACAAAGTGAAATTGAAAATGCGAAGGGAACCAGCATCCAAGCTGAGCATACATTCTGTTTGATGATTTGTTTGTGAGGGATGGGGGAAAACACAAGCAGTTTGCTTGAAAGCTTTCAACTTAGCACTCCTCAGGCGGGGAGGTTCAGGAGAAAAGTGATTTATGGAAATTTCATAATCTTCAATAGTCCGTATCTCTGTGGAGGAAGCATAAATGTCATTGCTACTGATGAAATCTATCTATTTTTTAACTTTAGGTTTGGCAAAAGTTATGTTAAAGAAGGGTAAGACCCAACTTTTCAAGGATGGAAGTCCCATGGTTTACAGCGGCGCTGTTGATAGAATAATTGGCCGGCCACCGCCAAAAACTGGTGATGTTGTGTTGGTGGCAGATGGATCAGAGAAACCTATTGGATGGGGTCTATACAATTCAGCATCGATGTTCTGTGTTCGCCTTATGCAGCTAGAAGATGAGGTCATGAGGTAAAAAAGAAAATGCTTTACATGAAAGTTAACATCTTTTTTAATGAATTGTTACTCAGAAATAGTTTAACCTTGTGCATGCCTTCCACTCCTCCTACTTGACTTAATAGTTAATAGTGTGCTGAACATGGAGAATTACTTGTCTTAAAGGCTTAACTTTGTGCTAATGCAGCTTTGAAATAACCCTAGTTTCTAACATGCCACAACTTTGTTTATAATTTTGTCATATATAAACAGCATTAGTTGTTAAAGGTTTTATTTGCTGTAATGGTATAAATAAATCTTTTTTTTTTTTTTTCTCTTTCTCTCAGGGATTCATCTTGTGCATTAGACATGGAAAAACTGCTCAATAGAAGGTTAGATGATGCCATGAATCTAAGGAGGAGTTTGGGGCTTCCATCAGCTGACACAAATGCATATCGTCTTGTCAATAGTGAAGGGGACAGGTTCGATTCCCCAACCAATCTAAAAAAAAAAAAAATTATCTTTATCCATCCTTAATCATGTTCAAATTAGGAGTGACTCCATAATCCAATCTTTGTCCCACACCTATCACATTTTCAAATTTCTTGAGGTCGGATCCTTTGCCCCTTTATGGAGCCCGAAAACATTTATAGCGCTCCTGTGGCTGCAACGTATTGGTGGTTAGGGAGACTGAGCTTTGGCCCAATAGTTACCCTTGTCTGTCTATTAATAATCTGTAACCAGTGGAGCCTTCTGGATCTTAAAATAGCTGCCATCTTGAATTTAACAATGGTTGTCTTGCTGGCATGCAGATTGTCTGGCCTTATTGTTGATGTTTTTGGTGATATTGCTGTTGTAGCTTCCTCTGCTGCTTGGGTTGAGAAATACCGACCTGAAATAGAGTCATGTGTTGGTAGGATTAGCGGAGTAACTTATATTAATTGGAGGCCATCTATTGACATTTTAAAAGAAGAAGGATTGGATGTATCTAACCTCATGAACTTCAAGTCCTGCTCTCATGTGGAAAAAGTTGAGGTGAGAATTAGATATTGAAAACGAATTCATGAATTAGTTCTCTTCTTACACGCACACCTTTGGTAGATTGCAACAATGATTATGTATATGTTTTACAAAATGTAATATAGAACTTAATGAGCAAAGTGCCAAAATAGTACGCTGACTATTTACATGGGCTACTTTAGTCTCGGAGTCTATAAAAATGTCAAATTAGTGATTGTAATATTTTAATATGGGCTGAAATAGTTCTCAAGAAGACTATTTTAGCCGCCATTAGATTTTGAATGATTGATATTTAAAGTGGATTTCAATATTTTGAATGTGAAGGGAATGGAAAATGAACAATTATTTGTTTTCGAAAAGGTAGATAAATGGCGTAAAAAATGTTAGTAGAAGTGCTCCTATTATTATAAAAAGATATTCTAACTACATACACTCACATTTATCATCACTGTGTGCAATGGGCTCATTAGCCATCAAATTATTTATGGCTTAATATTTTTTTTTAAATTTTTTTGTTTGTTTTTCTTCTATCTGACAATGTTATTTACGTTAGTTTGATGAATGTTTAAATATAATGTCCGTTCTATGGCGATTATATTGTTATTAGAGATGAAGATGTTGCAAATAAATATTTTAAATAGGCGTTCCTTTCCGTTTTAATTTTTTCTTCATGACCTAGTCAACAAAGTTTGTAGAAGTTGGTATTTACATGGCTAATTTTGACCTTCTATTTTCTAATTATATTTTTAACAGCTTTTGCTTGATTCTTATAGTTATACATCTACACCATCTGAAATCACCAGACTTTGTTTTTTTGGTCCAATTTACTTTCATTTCATCATCTACTACAATACCATTTGTTTTAAGTTAAATTAACTTAAAGTGTTTTCCATATGCTAAGCAAACATGCTTAGAACTATGGATGGCTTTTACTATGATATGAATCAGAGCCAAAATTGCGAACAAATTGCAGGAATTATGTTGAAAAACCTAAATTAGGGCTAATTTGATTAACCTTCAAGAAAATAAACAAAAGATACAAGGGGTGGTATACAATTTGAGAGGTAGATCGACTCTCCACAAACTCTAGACACGTCTAGGAACAAGAAGAGATTGAAAACTGCATAAATTCAAACATACGTAATTAGGGGCTTAACGCCCCACTCAGGGATTGGAATCATTCCAGGCTAGACTTGGGGTTTCCGCCCGCTCTTCTGGGTTGGCCGGCTTGGCCGGCCGGGCCAGGCCGGTTTAGGAGGGACCGGTTTAACATATTATTCCAGTAAAATTTGGAATTCTAAGAATAGTAGGCCTACTTTGGCAGTGAAGGCTGCTCATTTATTTTCTGCAAATGTAAGAAAAAGAAGCTTTATTTTTAATTTGGATTCAAATTGACTTTGCAAATGTGTAAGGATATCAATTAACTTGAAAAAAGTGTTGCAGAATTACATGAAATCGATATCTATCCTTTGGCAGAATTACTTCCTAGCAAATATCTACAGTTTCTTGTGAGATCAAATGCACTAAATTTTTAAGAGTGACTGGATCCCTTATAGCAAACTGGAGAACTAGTTGTTGTTTTCCTGACTTAAGTGTTGTAATTTACTCTTTTACATTAATATTGAGATTGAGAGCGGGCATCAGTTGTGTCTCTCAATTTTCTTGGTGTATGGATAAAATTGGTAGCCATATTTGCAGGATTGCTTTGTTGTCTTATGAGACATGGAGCCAACAGGCTTTGGAGATTATGGGAGGAGGAATTGTTAGAAAAATCAATGCTAATCGAATAAAAATGTGCTCCACTTGTTTTTAATTGATCTTAAAGCTCACTTACAAGATATATTAATAGCCTTCTAAGTCTCTAGTATGGAAATCAAGAAATTCACTAAAAAAATTAAATCTAGTATAGGAATATTAAAAGAAAAAAAATCACCGTATATAAGCTATTTGATGTTTTTGTAAAATTCTTTTCACATTTATTTTATGAATAAAAGGAAAAGTACTTTAGAGAATTTTCCCCTCGGCTTCCTCTCTGACAGGCAGGTAGACCACGCTCGCGTCCTCAGCCGCTGTTCTTTCTCTTTCCTGCACTCGCGCTCTCTTGCAGGCTCAACTCCAAGTCATTTAGTTAGAGATTGATATTATTTCATGTTTTTTATTATTTCACATTATAGCTACAATGAGTTTACTATAGCTGCAGTAAACCGAGTTTTTTTTTCCATGTTTGCAATTTAGTAGAGGCTGATTATATTTTTTTTATTATGCACAAATAATTTATTTTTTTTCCTTTAATATTTATTGTTCATATTTTTTTTATACTGTGGGGCCCACGCCCTATGTCTTGGGGCATATGCCTCACCCCATAACAGCTGAAACGCCCCGCCCAACTCCCACACCTTTTAAAACATTGATTTTGACTTGATCAAAAATAGATTAAACTCTAATTTTCTACCTCCACAATCTGGGTGAAAGTCTAAATTTTTTATTTTAGACCCATTTAGCATTAATTAAGGTCCCATCTTGATATCATAGGTCTTCTTGTTTATCTTAAGCTTGTATTTAGCACATTAGCCTTGATTTGATTAAACTAAGCTCCATTTTAAAAGTATGCTTGTTTAGTGTATTTTAAAAAAAAAAAAGAAATTAGATTGTTTTTAAAGACTTTCAAAACATTTAAAAATTGTTTTAAATATTTAAAAAAAAGTTAAACCAAATATATTTTGCTTCAAGTAAAAAACACAATTGAAAGAAAAAAATCTAAAAATAAAAATGATCCCAAATGGTCCCTTAGATTCTACACTTTTATAGGTAATTGAGAATGGTATATTCTACTCAGTTTCACTGGAGGGCCAGAAAACCGGTTTTTATGCAGATCAACGTGAGAATCGCCGCCTTGTACATTCCATCTCGAAGGGCTGGAGGGTACTCGATGTTTGTTGCTATAGTGGTGGTTTTGCTCTTAACGCAGCAGCAGGATGTGCTGATCATGTTATTGGTAAAAATACCATTTGCTTATAAACAATTTTATTCTACTGTTTATTCTTCCATCTTCTATTTTAGCAGCTTTCATGGCAAATTAGCCTTTTTTTTAAGTTTATTGAAACATATTCTAAATTATCTTCCTTTATGTTAGTTAAATAGTAAAATTTCTTGAACTTAACCATGCATGCTGGAACCTTCTTTTTTAGCATAGGAAAATTAATGCGTCTATTAGCATCTGCCTGTCGGTCGCCAAGCGGCTGAGTGCAGTTTAATTTAGCGTAATATAATGTTTAGAAATTAGGTATTTTTAATTTAAAGAAAATGGGGTCAAATTGATCCTATCCTATTGATTCCTTGGATAATCGAGCTAACCACGAGTAATGTACCACCATGAAGGGTAATACATTACTTGATAATAAGCTCAATTAAATAAACTATAAAAATAAATGACTTCCGTTTGATCTGCAAGTTTGCATGATGACCGACAGATTCCCCTATTTGATATGAGAGTCAAATAGGGTTTATTTTAAATCTAGGTTCTTTTAAGTTCCCTATAACGGCAAGCCCCTATAGTTAATTATATCTTAAGTGACGGATCACATAAGAAAACTCTCGATAAAAATCAGGAATCTTTTGTTTTCATGAGTTCAAAGGAAGGGTTTTCAACGAACATGATTGTGAAATTTTCAATAGGGATTGATTCAAAGGTGAAAGATTTTATTTTAAGAATCAAATGAAGAAAAGTAGGGGAGATTAAAGATCCAGAATAGATTCTTGGTAATCCCCCAAACTATCCTAATGTTTGGCTCAATTTAGGATGATATTAATTTAACTTAACTCTTGTCAGTTTTATTAATTAGGACTTAGATTTGTGTAATGATGATTTACACAAAAAGCCTAAAAATATAGGACGTTTTATGTCGAGTGACTACCTCAGAATCCTAAAACAAATTAGGACATGCTGCATATCGAGACTATGCAGGAGCCTAATAAAAAGAGAGGTTTATGTCATAAAAGACAGCCTCAGAATTCTAAGGATTGTTATTTAAACTAAAGAAAGTGTCTTGAACGAGCTGCCCACGAAGTCTGCTCCAAGTTCCATACTGAAATGCCTTCAGGTCTTCAAGTCTTCAGGTCCTCCAATCTTATTATTAAAAGTTTTATTTGTTTCGATAATTTTATAGTGAATTAATTAAAAGGTAGTGGATGTATAGTTCAAACTTAAGCAAAGGCTAAGTTTACTTAAGCTAAGTAATCACCTAGTGTTATGATTTCTAGGTTCTCCCTAATCTAATCAACTTTTATTTTTTTCTTATTTGTCCTTAACACATGCATTCTATGTTTGATAAAAACAGTAAAATAACATGCGTTTAGATACATAAAACAATAAATAGAACAAATAAAGAAACAATGTTTTATCAAATTTTTATTAAATTTTAATTATTTAATTAGTGTTAACCCAGTCAAGATGTCTATGGCTCCATCCTCCCGGGTCGCCTGGTGCTCTAGCTTACTTAGTCCGAAAAGTGGTTGCCCACCAGGATCGAAAGATTCTTGTCAATATCCACAGAATGCATCGTTCAAGGAATCTTCGTAAAGTAGAACAAAAAGGGGTTTAACTTGCGTTATGTGATCTTTGTGATTAAGATTTGATTAATTCTTGAATTACTTCATCAATTTTAGGGTTGAAATATTTTAGGTTGTTTACATCTTGTTGTCGGATTTTAAGTATTTTATTTTAGTTATTTTGGTTCACTTGTTATTACTTATGTGAAGTTGGCAAATTTGAAGCTGACTTAGCTTCAAAACCATGCTTTAAGGCCCTATTGTATCTTTTTAGTTTAAGTTTAATATTTAATGTGTTTTATGTAAAGTTTACCCCTCCTAATTAATGTGTTTTAATCAACTTAAGGTTTAAGCTAATTTCTATTGGTTTAGACTTATTGGTTCAGGGTTAACTAACCTAGGGTTTAGGTTAATTAATCCTATTGGTTTAGGTTAACTAATCCTATTGGTTTAGGTTTAACTAACCTATGTTTTTGGCTTAGCTAATCCTATTGGTTTAGAGTTAGAGTTAATTATCCTATGTTTTAGGCTTAGCTAATCTTATTGGTTTAGGGCTAACTAACCTAAGATTTAGGTTAGCTAATCCTATTGGTTTAGGGCTAACTAACCTAAGATTTAAGTTAATTAATCTATTGATTTAGGATTAATTAACTTAAGGTTTATGTTAACTAATCATTTAATCCTATTGGTTTAGGGTTAACTAACCTAATGTTTCGGTTAACTAATCCTATTGGTTTAGAGTTAACTAACCTAAGATTTAGGTTAACTAATCCTATGAATTAGGGTTAGCTAATCTAAGGTTTAGGTTAACTAATCCTATTGGTTTAGGGCTAAACAACCTAATATTTAGGCTTAGCTAATCATATTGGTTTAGGGTTAATTAACCTAAGGTTTAGACTTAGCTAATCCTATGAATTAGAGTTAACTAACCTAATGTTTAGGCTTAGCTAATCCTATGGATCAGGGTAAACTAACCTAATGTTTATGTTAACTAATCTTAGTGGTTAGGATCACTAATCCTAATGATTTAGGTTAAGACCGACCTGGGATTAAGGTTTAGTTTAGGATGAACCTAATGTGTATGTTAAACTAAACTATAGTTCATGTTGACTAACCCTAATCTTGAAGAGGTTCAGTCTAAATTAAATAATAGGATGACTTAAATCTCGAGTTTTAAAATGGTCTAACTGCTCAAGTTTAAAATGGTCCGACAATTCAAATTGGGATCAGCTAAAGTTTAAGTTTACTCAGACGAGACTCGGTCTAAAGACTGGTTGGCCTATAGCCCTAAATGACTGAAATTAGATTTAATGAGTAATTGACTCAATCCTTAAGTTGGTTGACTAGGTCTGTAATCGGGTTGAACAAGACCTAAAGAGAATTGGCTAGATTGAACTTAAGTTGAGCTTGAGTTAGGTAAACTTAGCCTAAATTAAACCTGAACTCTAATTAACGTCTTTTAATTGCAAAAATTATTTTAAACATTATTTTAAAATTTTTAAACCTCTGTTAATGGTCAAAAGTTCAATCAGAGAGAGTTTTACAAGTTTTATAATTTTTATAATTTTTTATTTACATAAATATGTTGTTTCGTTTAAAAATCAAAATACTGATACAAAAAAACTAAAAATGTCTTGGAAAAATTAGAGAAGCTTTCCCCAATGCCATTTAATTTTTCTGCCAAATTTCATATTTTTCCCATTTATATTTTAATTTTTATGATTTAAATACTCCAAAACTTCAAAAATTAATTTAAAAATATTTACTTTATGAAAAATTATGATTTAAGTTTTGAAAAAATTTTCTCATTTTTTTGAGTTCATAGCATCTTTCAGTTTATTTTTTTGAGTTTTCTATAAAAAGTTATGTAATTTTAAAGTTTAATTATAATTTTTGAAATAAAATAATAAAATATAAAAAAAAAATTTCAGCATCTCCTCCCTCCCTCGCGCGACGCCCACGAAGCTGGACTCCGACGCATGCATGGAGGAAAACCAACGGCCGAAACTTTCCGGAGTCCGTCCTTTGCTAATTCTCAACCAAATTTTGCGTTCTTGGACTCGTTTTGTTCAGCTCGATGATTAGATCACATCCATACGGATACTTGAGTATTTTGTGATCTATTTTTCGATCTGGAAGGGAGGGAAGTTCGAGATTATTATTTCAATTTAAGAGATATACCTGAGCCTAAGAGGTTTGTCCTCAATTAAGTTTGAATAAGTAGGTCTTTCTGAGCTTATCCAACTCCTCGTGGCGTCGTTTTGACGTAATTTTCGCGTCAGGTCGGAGATTCGCCTGAATTTAGCTCGGTTTCGGCTTTTCCGGCGACGTCGGCGTTTTCCGGCGAGGGAGGAGAAAGTGGAGCTGCTGTTGTGTGTGTGGAGAAGGAATGAAGAGTGGGGCGTGCTTAAGGATGAATTAGTGTTATATAGGGGAGAGAGAGAGGGAGAGAGATTGTTTTATAAATTTTTTAATTTTTATTTTATTGTTATTTTTTTTAATCCCATGGCATGCGTGATCCATAGATATGATAGGATTGGATTTTTCATTTTATAAATATATATATATCAAATCCAGAG